ATCTATATATATATATATATATATAAAAAGACGGGAGATGTGAACTTCATTCCATACCAGGGTTGAAAAGACAGACAACCACTTTCATTGTCTGCCGAAATAGCCTATTCCCCATATGAGGTAAAAGGATTTGTTTGATTATTAATTATATTGCTCTGTATAAATAAAATACATTGAGCTCTTTTTTGTGGATCAGTTCTAATATTTTCATATTACTAGGATTATATATGAATTGATTTTTACCTATATATATATATATATATATATATATATATATATATATATATATATATATTACACACACACGTATGTCCTGAAAAAATTATTTTGGTTGAGCTCTCAGGGAGAAAAATGAATTTGTAAACAGTGACTATTACTGCTACAAGACTCTTTGTTAAAATGAATCGTGTTCTCCTAGTCACTGGCATGATTATCTAAAAATAAATATGTTTAAATTCACCTTCATCCCTGCCGTGCACCAATGGCTTAGGGGTAGATTCTCTAACTGATACCAAATCAGTTGGGTTTTGGCTTGATACAATCATATGTCTAGCCACACAGTCTATCTGTGGGTGACTATATATATATATATATATATATATATATATATATGTCAAGAACAATTCTGGGATAAAATGTATTACCAAGTGGAAAAAGTTATTGTGTGATGGGTTTCATCTTTTAGGACTTCATCGGACTAAATTTGTTAAATTGGTACAACTACACACATGCACTAAGAAAGGATGCTGGGAATTTAAAATTTAACATTTCTTTTTTAAATATAGCTGATTTTATTTCAATTATTTTTCTTTTTGTTCCCATAACTTTTGTTGTTAGATGTACTACACTGTGATAATAAAAGTATTGCATTGTGGGATATATAATAACAAATGTTATGGAAATTAAAAAAAAAAAAAAAAAGAGAATCTAAATGAAATTGGCAAGATTTTTAAAAAAATAAATAAATAAATAAAATAAAAATTTACTGAGTGTGAGGGAATATCAAAAAAAAATTTTTAAAAAAAGACACTATTAAGGAGAGAGAACAGTAAAAGAACAGGAATTAAGGCAGAAGATAAGAACTGACATTATTTTTAAAGATCAAAGTTGACCGAGAAGCAAAAGGTTACAGTCATGTCTAGCCATTTCAACTGTAAAATGATATGATCTTGCCACTAATCTAGTACTGCACTTGAATTCATTAAGTCTAGGTACCATAGAGGAAAACTCATCAGAACAATTACCGTGAAAGTATTTATAGAAAAAGCATTGGGAAGCTATGCTACAACGGTCGAAAAAGTGACTGATGCCAAAATGCCAAGTCGGGACTAATAAGATTGCAGATTTTATCAAGAATCTCTAAATATATAGCAGAAGCACCAGACCAGATGTGGCAGCAATATTCAAAGCATGGACAAATGGTAGCCTTCTAAATACATAAGATTTTCTGAGGAAAATAAAATTGTTTAGCATGACACAGTGAACCAACTTTCCTAGAAGCAGATGTAGCAATTGATTCAATATAACCTTTCCACTTCGTGTCAGTGAAAAATTTGCATAGCAATATTTAAATTTTAATATTCCTTCTGTGTTATTTATTTTTTAATTAAAATTGAAAAAATTGCCACATATAATCAATGTTTCTGTTAATAAATCTTTATTTTTAAATTTCTGTTTGTATAGAAAGAATTGTCAAAATTCAGCCATAAATTGGAAAAACTACAGCATTCATAATATGCTTTGTTGTCTGCTATTTCACTCTAATACAAATTAATTTGTGTAATTAAATTTCCTTAAAACTGTAATGAAATATTTAAACAAGTGAAAACAAATATGAAGTCTGAAATTGGTGAATTAATTTTTATTATACAGGGTGGTCCGAAATTCTTGTCATCCCCTCCCAAAAAAGTAATGAGAAAAAAAGAACAAGTAATACAGTAATATCGACCATTTGTACTGGATTCATAATTAAAAGAAAGAAAAAACTTGTAATTCCTACAAATGATTTAGTCTTTTATGGAAATATTTCGGCTCGCAGTTGCCAGTCTTTGTCACTCCTTAATTTGAGTAAAAACAGTACAAAGAAGGCGATAAGGTAATTTTAAATGATAATGAAAAACAAAAATTGGAAAAAACTTCAGTGATTGCATTAAATGCCATTACAGAAGGTCACAGAATTAACTTCGACCATCCGGAAATATAATTGAGCAACCAAAAGCATTTCAATCAAAGAAGAATAGCTGAACAAATGGTAATAGCAAATACAAAAAAAAATGCCTGCAATAGGATAGATGCAGCGCAACTCCATCCTGTCTGGACATCTTTGCTCCAAAGAAAAATATGATACGGAGAAAAAAAAAAAAAAAAAAAATTTTTATGCCTCGACTTGCTACTATGTTGTAAACATTATCAACTCAGTTTGTTTTCCTTGATTTAAATTCTTAAGCATTTCGAACTTCTTTGTACGGTTTTACTCAAATTAAAGAATGACCAAGACTGGCAACTGCTAGTCGAAATATTTCCATAAAAGACTAAATCATTCGTTGGAATTACAAGTTTTTTTTTCCTTTTAATTATGCAACTACCAACGGAGACAAGTATCCTAATTTTGTACTGGATTCAATTTATTTACTTTCATTGACACTGTCACACATCAAGATCTATATAAACACCATTTTTCTGGCACAAAATGATGTGGCACCATGTTCTATGTGACATTTTACAAAGCTGTTTTTTATGTTGATTGTTGTAAAGGCTCTCTGAATGGTATTCTGGTATCATTCATGTGAAACTCTCTCCTTGAAAACTCAACAGAGTGTTGAAATAGAAAATTATATTATGTATGGAGACATGACTTTCAGGTCACCTTGTACTTACCTGGCAGATGCTAGGAAGTATCAAAAACATTAAGCCCAAGCTCCAGAGTGCCTTCCTCCCAGGCAGTACTTCTCCTTCAGGAGGGGGCTGGGTTTATTGCTTAACACCTGAGGGAGCTCAGGCAATTTTTCCATGATATTGCCATTAAACCCAATTTAAACCTCAAGCTTGTGTCACATTTGGTAGTGACATGTGCACACTGAAAAATACCTTATTATTATTTCTAATAAAAACATTAGAAAATTATTTAAATGTTTCTCTTATGGTCATCTCTATATAGCTATGTCCAGAGTAGGAAATTCAAGTGGATTTAGCATAATTCAAAAAAAAAAAAAAGAAAAGAAAAATTGCAGAAAATGTTGGAATTTTTTACAACTGTAAAAACTTTGATGACAACTTTTCTCTGCAGACTAATTCATTAAATATCAAAGGATTAACCTCATTGAGATGTGACAAAAATGGAGGTTACATTACAGTAAAAACTTCAACTAATCTAAATTTGAAGCTTCATTTATATAATTAATGTGAATGTCACACTTCTCAATTAAAGGGACACAACTCTCTAACTTTCAATAGCTCATCTTCTTCTAGATAATAAATGCGAATGTCAGTGTGTTACACTTTTTCAATTTTACTCCTAGAGGCATTAGCCCAACATATACCATTTTGGAATCAGGCCAGCTCTATAAACAAATTAAAATCATTCTGGGCTGGATTCCCAAGTTTTCATTATTGTGATTGTTTTTTGGCAATATTTGCACATGACGTTTTGCAATAAATTTTTGTGTATGAGGACTATTTTTATAACTTGGAAATAAATTTGGCAATCAAAATTAATTGTGAAATCCAATGAAAGTCACCCATGAAATAAAAATAATTGTTTGCATGAAAGTAAGGACTAATATACATCACATTGTTTTTAAATTAAGTGGCGGCAGAATTATTGTTGAACTTTTAAAAGGTAAGCTTAAATATTAATGCAATACTTAAATGCAGCAATCAATTTTGAGTTCTGTAGTTTATTGTTGCCTATCACATCAAGTCCTCTCTACCAGTCAAGAGCCCTCCGCAGGAACTCGCTTAAATGACACCTGAAAGGGCAGATTTTAATCTAGTTATACATATTTACTGTAATTATTTTTAAATGTTTTTCTTTTTACCCTATATAAACTGGATCTGTTAAGAAATGTGAAACTATTCATTAGTTTCCAGAAACAAATAAAGATCTACTTACAACACCATGTTTTTGTTGCCTGATCTCTGCACACAGTCCAATAACAAGACAAGCAAATAATATTAGTGATATTTATAGTGTTGATGATGATCATGTTGATGACAAAAATAAAAAAAATTAAATACATTGCTTCCTCTTTGGCTCTAGCCTCCCAAACACATAACTATATGCTCCCCTGGAGAAATGTTCGGAGCAAGACACAACTAGATTGATACCCCAGGAACCATTTTGAGAGGTAGGATTTCTTGTGAACATATTACCAAAACATCTGTCCAAAGCTTGCTAACAGGATAAAAATGAACCCAAGCTGTAATGAATAAATCCTTAAAACTGATCTCAGTATAAACAGCAGATGTTTCAGAAGAAAGGAATAGAGATACATGGGCAAAAAAAGAAAAATTTAAAAATAGGTAAAATGTCAAAGAAGCCAAATAAATAAAAAATTAGCACCTCATAAAATATTCCTCTTTCAGGTGTTGTTTTCCTACAGGATGTAGGAGATCATGGCTCTTCACAACTTCCTATTATTTATAGCTCTAAGCAATATCTGTCCCCTTACTATTCCTCCCATACCTTGTTCTGTAATTCATTTACACAAACTCATTTGGATTAGATTTGATTTTGATTTATTCATTTTTTACAACTTATCAACCCTTTACAGGTTATTTAAAGCCACAAAATATTTTTAGAATGTAAGAATTTTTTTTAGGTAATAATGATTTAGTGACACAAATCCTAATTAAGATAGCTGGGGAGAGAAAAGTGGATTCATAACTTTCCCAAGTTTATTGGTGCGTAAGTGAATATAACAAATTTTATTGGAATTGGAACTTGGCTCTTTGATTTATAATTCCAAGCCATTATACATTACACCATCTGCACATTCAAGCTTACAGTACCTGGTATTCACAAACGGTCACTCATCTAGGTACTAACCAGGCTCGGTATTGCTTAAATTTGGTAATCGTATGAGAACCAATGCTTCAATGTCATGTAGCCATAAACCCAAAAACTTAGGTATTGTTCTTTTTTTTTTTTAACAAGTATTCCACTAATACAAGTCCCAAGAGCCACTCAAGATAGAGGGTTACTGTTTTGGAGTTATATTAGCATAAGAAAGGACAAGCATTAGGAATATAGTGCTGAAGTATATTTCAGAAGGAACTGGAAGCCCAATCCTAAACAGGAAACAAGAGGCAAACCTCTACTCCTGTTTAAAAATGGTAGAGGTGACTAAAATGAACTATAAGTGAACCTATCTATTCCTATTGGTGGAGGAGAGAATAAATAAATAAAATGACATATCATATTCTCCAGAGCCATTTTCCTCATTATGGTGATTTTCTAATTGTAACTTAGATGTGGCACAAGGCCAAAAGTATGGAACACCAAGTGAGGATTGAACTCACTTTACAGTCATAACTGATCTTGCGAAACAAGCTTGCTAACCATTACACTCCCATCAAAGTCACCCCATTTTACTCATTGTGAATTCAAATCTGTCTTTCTGATTCTAAATACAAGTGACCTTTTATTCCCATTTTTTTTTTAGAACTTCCATGTTTAGTCCATGGTATCCTTATCATCCTTCTGTAGAACCAGATTTCTGTTGTCTCAATTCTGCTCTACTACTGTGGGGAGATTGTCCAGCTTTCACTGTTATATAGGTGGATTGATATTACAGAGAAATTCAGCACCTAACATTAGAATATTGCTGCCACATATGGTCCAATGATCCTGCTATTTACCTTAAGCTCCTTGATAAAATCCAAAGAAGAATCAGCAATATTATTGGTCCTGATCTGGCAGCTTGGCTTTAGTTGTTTTCCCATCATCATAAGGTTTCCTCTCTGTACCTTTTCTATAAATACTTTCATGGTAATTGTTCAAATGAGTTCTTCACTATTGTACTTAGACTTTCTGAATTTAAGCACAGTACTCGACTGGCATCTAGATCTCATCAGTTTACAGTTGAGCTGGCTAGATGTAGCTGTAAATTCTATGCTAAAAGTTTCTTTTCTCGCTTGTGTAACTCCCTTCCATCTCCATGCTTTCTAGCCAACTTTAACCTGCAAAAATTTAAATGCACTGTCAATCACCATCTACTATTCACCTGATTATGATCTTCTATTTCTGCTCATTATTTATGGTTTTGTTCCTAATTTTTCCACACCCTATAATTGTTGTGTTAGTAATGACTGAAGCAATGCATGTGTGCTAGGTTTCTGATTCAAAAATGGCTCCCTGGGGCCAGGTGTTACATAATGGAAATTTCAGGGCCAGAATGACTCGTGGGTAGGGGTATTCTAACAGTGATTTCCTTTGTCTGGTTTTGAATATAAGTCCAAAATGGCACAAATTCAACAGAGGGTTTCAAGAATTCTAACACGTCAATATGCCTCCCGCAACCAGCTAATACCACCAGCAGACGGACACTGAGCCAACATGTGACGTGTGTTTATGTCATGTCAGTCCTATTATTGCCTCTTAGAATCCAAGCTTCCAGGGTTTATAAAGCAAATACCAAAAGTAAATGATCCTTTTTGTTGATACTGTTTTTATTAATAGCATTAGGATCATGAGATGACACCGAATACAACTGTTATGTTCCGTGTGAGTTCATTTCAAACATCCTTGTTGCCACTGTTATATTCCATGCTAAGGGAATAAACACATAACACCAGGTGGATACTAGAAGAAAGTTTTATTGTACACAACAAGTACAATATGAAATACGATACAGTTATATACACAGGTCAATCTAGTAGTGAGTGCCACTAATTGGAAGGTTGTATGTGCTTGCGTCACTTCGCTTGAATCTCTTGTAGGCGGATGACTTTATAGGTACTTGCTACTTATTGTGTAATCATTCATGTGGGTGACTGGTTATTTCCTTACATCAACAACACATGTTTATTTCTTGTTCTGGTTACAATAGGAATGTTAATGTTTTTGTAATGGGATTAACTGTCTGTTTAGTTAAATAGACTGCTATTACAGTAACTCCTTGTGTCTTAGTGGCTTTGTTTTGCATGGACTGATACTGATTTAAAAAAAAAAAAAAAGTATCAAAATTCATTAGTTCATTATCTGGAACTAAAAGATGTTTTCTGCTTTAGAAAATCTAGGTATACTGCAAAATTTTATAAATTTCTCCAGACTTTTATCATGAAAAGCATCAAGATCAGAAAATACTGAGAACAATCAGCTTTTAAAACTGATTTTTGTTCTAACCTCCAGTAAAATATGCACGTTTGAACGACATTTTTTTCTGAAGGAATATTTTAAGAAATATTATTTACATTATTATCTACTTTTAAACACCCCATCACAGAGTTTCAAACATTGTGCCCCACCACCCCAGCCTTCTTCACATATCAATTGATCCAGGTAAGCCTCAGAAAATTTTAAGCTACACTCTTGATTTAGTCTCTGGGGGTAGAATCTTTATTGTTCTACTCTCCATGTCTAGGGATATCTCATTATTTTAGTATTGCTTGCACAGTTACTGCTCACCCTGTTACCATGCAGTCTATACTACCTAACCCAGAGATTGACCTCATGACTGTTATACCTCCAAATTCATGAACCAATACTTTAATCCACTTGTTTATTGTCTCATGGGACAGACTCGTACTCAGTGGAAACAGGGCAAACAATAACTGACTGGTATTAAAAAGAACAAGATGAGATATCCCAGGACATGGAATGAAAACAATCTACAATCTAAATTATATAAAGAGTTCAGTTTGAAATTCTTTGAAGGTTACCCAAATTATCAAATGCCTGAAGAAGGCTGAAGGGCAAAAAATAGCCGAAATGCTGTGATAATAACAACAAAAATGAGCACATTAGTTGAAACGTAAATATTGGTAAATTCCTCATACCAAAAATTTAGACTGAAAATACTTCGAAATACAGTTTTTCTCTATGTACTTTCACTTTTCTTTCTTTAGAAAAGAAAAAAAAATTCCTTTAAAGAAAATATTTTACAAGATCAAAAAATTTGCGGTGGTTTAAATAATAGGAGGCTTAACTTTAAATATATGGTTATTATACTTTTACAACTGATGATTAAGGAAAAGACTGCAAACTTTAATTTTTATGCTTTCCAAAAAAAATTTTAAAAAATCTGGTGTGTCATTAGGATGCTTTTTTCCATTGATACTGGTTTGTTCTATATCGACTCCTTCGGCTATGTTTATTTAATTTCTTATAAAAATATGTGAACCAAAGGAAGCTTATGCTTAACATAAGGAAGAGGCAGATGAAATTTCTGGGACACTTGATGAGAAAGGAGGTCCTGGAGAACCTGATACTCACAGGACAAATAGAGGGAAAAAGAGACAGGGGAAAGCAACACATAACATATGTGGCAGCAGGCTTGGGCAGGTGGATGTCAGAGCATGGTCTGGAGGAAGTTGGCAGAAACACAAAACATGTTGAGAGCCACAAGGGATAGAGGGAAGTGAAGGGCCATGATCACACACATTCTGAAAAAAAACAGCACATAAAAAGAAGAACCACCAAGTATAATGCAAGATTTATTATCTACCATTTAATAAAGATTTATTATTTACCTTTGATAAAGATTTATTATTTACCATTTTAATCTATATCTAACATTCTCAAAATGTGCATGTGTATGTATGTATGTGTGGGGGGGGATCGGATGTTGTTTATGCATTTTCACAGTTTTCATCTGATTTTGATGAAAATTTTTTTCTTTGACAGATAATTCTTCAGTGCTGGTTTTGAGCCCAAATTGTTGGTGACAATGGTTCTCCACAACTTCCTGCCCATTATAATTCTCAGCAACGTTTTACTATTTACTATCTGTTCTTAGATATACATCTTTCATAAAACTTTAATAAAAATAAATAGTTTAAATTATTACAATAATATTATTTATTATTATACAGTTCCATTTTCAGGGCCACCCCCCCATTCATATTGTTGAATTTTAGGGGGGATTTTTTAGGGGGGGATGTGCCTCAGTTACACTCAGTTGTTGTCACTAATATTGATTTTTCGGGTGGGCTGACTTTAAACTTAAACTGCTCCAATTGAATGGCAAAAATTCCCAGTTATGAAAGACCCAGGCAAAGATGAGTTATACTTCTGGTAAAGAAATAAATGTGAAAAGAAATCTTTTTATTCAAAATGTTTTTTAATTATCAAATTATATAAACCATCTTCAATGCAATTTAATATTTACTATTTTATGATTAACTATGAAAACAAGTTTTTTTATTCATAATTTTATAAAACTATCAATGAATTGCTGCTTGAGAGAAATACCCGGAAAATGCATTTTTTCTAAATTTATAATTAGTTACTTGTCATTATCTGTATACAGTGTAACCCGGATATAAGAGAGATTTTCTCTGGTCCCAAATTAGAGCCTGTGTTAATGTATATAAAATACACCAAACCCGGATATAAGAGACTTCTTCTCCAGTCCCGACAACTCTCTTATATCCAGGTTACACTGTATTTAAATTTTCTTGTTGACAAACATTTTATATAAATTTCTAAATAAGAAAAAAATTATTTTGATATTTATTTCTTTATAAATTGATAAATAATGAACATTGCACAGTATTAGTTTGTAAGTATTATTAGAATGTTGAAAATATAAAATTATTCTTGTAAATAAACAAACTAACAGATAAATAATGTTTAATATGTTTGTAGTAAATTCTCAAGGACCAAAATAAAATGTATAAATTCACTTCCAATATGTTTAGGTTTTATTAAAATTTTAATCATCACTTTTTAAAAAAACGATAAACATTGCTGAGGAAGTGAAGGTAGTTAAAATAAAGTCAAGGGAAAAAATAAACATCCTTTTGACACCCCATTTTATTGTGGGCACAAAGTGGTTAAAGATTGCCAAAAAGATTTTACAAGCATTCAGGTGTTTAGTGAGATTAACTATCTGTTTCTTCAACAAATATGGCTTCTCCCTGCCACAAGAACCCTGCTC